TAATCAGGGAGAGCAGAGATGAACCAGAGGAATGGATGGATATTGATTCAGATCCACAGTAAAAGGGTCACACCAGCCCCAGAGCCATGGCAAGCTTTCACAGATAACTAAAAACAGCACCCGAAGCTGAATCATGCAGGTTACTGGTTAAAAATCCAGAAACAATTTCAGTGTTTTCAAATTTAAAATCAAATGCCAAAGTCTGCAGCTCAAAAGAATTCAGAAGGACTGGGGTCAGCGGAAACTCTCACTAAGCAATCACGGCGATGTTATGGAGCAATTGATTGTGTGATCAGATCACACACATGAACACAGTGCATTTGGGTCTCTGCAAACAAGTGATCACCACAAAAGATGTGGTGAGATTTAAAAGGAGATTGATCAGAATGAATAAATGTGGAGCTGGAAAAGCATAGTCAGTCAGACAGCATTCAAGGAGCAGGAAAGTCAACGTTTCAGGCTGAAAACCTTTGTCAGTACTGGGGTTGATCAGAATGGTTCAAGGAATTAGGAATATTAGTTGCAAGGTCGGGTTGGAGAAACTGAAGTTGCTCTGCATAGAGCGAAGAAGACTGACGTGAGATTTGATAGAAGTGTCGAGGTTTATGATAGGTTTAGATAAGGCAGATAAAGAGCAGCTGTTACCATTCGCTGATAGTAAAGGTATTAGAGACACAGATATAAGATATTGGGTTAGTGTTACTGGGAGATGTAAGGAAGGAAATTTATGTAACTTTTATTTCACTCAACACTTGCATTCAAAGGCCAATAATATCCAGTGCTGAATGAATAAAAGATAAAGTGGCACGATCAGATCTTGGTATATCATTTGGTTTGAGTTTCCAATCAGCAAATCCTCTTCCAGCATGCTGTAAAATGAGTTTACGAAAGCCATCTCAGTCAGTCCAGGACAGAATTTCAGATGAAACAAACATTTCTGTGGTTTTGAGTTTGCTGTGTGTAAATACTCCCCTCTTCACCCCCTGTAAAAGTAGTTTATAAACTCCATCCCTTAATGTCCAGGAGACACATTCACAACATTCTGTCAGAGATAGTAAGAACTGCCGATGCTGGAGTCAGAGATAACACAGTGTGGAGCTGGCGGAACACAGCAGGCCAGGCAGCATCAGGGGAGCAGGAAAGTTGACGTTTCGGGTCCCGACCCGAAGCACAACATTCCCGCCCCTGGCCCTGAGTGAACGCACATGCGCCCAGCTGCCCTTTGCCCCATACAAAAATGGCGGACGATAAGCGGGAACCTGTCTCTAAGAGGGTGCAGCGATTTGTCCAGTTTCGTGAAACGAGAACAATATTATCTTAATACGAACCCTAGCGCATCCACAAAGTGGTTAGGAAACCCTGCCCGTCGATCGGCCGGCCCATCGCCTGCTCCACTCCGCCTCATTGTTACCTTTTGTGGAGCCGAGGAAAAGTACAACTGCTCCTCCGGATCGCTCCGGTTCGCTCCGACCGCGCATGCGGCATGCCATTGTTGAGCCGCCGTGTGTCTGTGCATGCGCAGCGATAAGGAACCTGCCCATAGGGGACGTTAACCAGCGCTCGGAATTCTGGGTTAACGCAGCCGCCATTGTAGACTTTTAATTTATATGAGTTACTGCGTGTACAAGCAATCTTTCTGTTTATCTCTTACAAGCACAACTGACCTACATAATGCATACAATAAAGAATAAAATATCCCTGTGAGTCCCATGTTTACAATATCACAAAATCTGACACTGAGCCACGCATGAAAAGCTAATGTTGCCATACTTGTTCTGGGCCATTATTAGAGAGAGAAAAGTGATGTGGTTTAACCTGAGGGACAACACTCCTCGGCTGAGCAGAGAGTTTGAAAACGAAAGTCATTAGCGGTAACCAGACGGACATAATCTCAAACTACTGGCATCATGAGGAAAACTGGCAAATGGCTCTGAGGAAGAGTTTGGTTTTCGGAACTGTCTTCAAGGAGGAAATTGTAGATTTCGTGTTCCAGCAAACAGTAATGTTTCCTGTCATTGGGAGAAGGGCTGTTTTTGTTCCATTGAAGCCCTCAAGACTTTGAATACCTATTTAGATGAGCACTTAAAACGTCAGAACACACAAAACCAAGCGCCGGAAACTGTATTTACAAGTGAGATGTTTAATGATTGGCATTGATATAAGATCATTGAATAACCTCTGTCATTTTGCAAATGATAAAATTCAAAAGCATTGCCAGCAAGAGAAGTTGCAAGCATTGCATGCACCTTCGCTGGTGCTCTAGCAGTTGTGATTCAGCACTCTGACTGCTGTTTCCTGGATTGATTTCCAGTCAGGGAGTGAGGATTTATTGTTCCTGAACAAATTCTTAACATGAACATGAATTTCTGGCATTAAAACCAGCAAAGAGAGCATCTCTATCAGAATCAATGAGAGTTTCACATCGGAGATGAATTCAATGGGAAGAAGCACGGAAATCCATTGCTTTCATCTGCTCAGAAACAGTCCTACAAAAATGCTCCTTGTTGAAACATACAGATGTTTTTGGTGATGTAACGGATTAGATGCAGAATGGTTAGTTCCCTTCTGGGGCCGTCAAGGAATGGAGTGTCTGGTATCAGAATGGAGGTCGCACATTTAAGGCAGAAACGAGGTAAAATTTATTCGCTCAGATGGTTGTGAATCGGTGGATTCCTTTACAGCAGAGGGTTGTCGAGCCTGGGCCATTAAGTATATTTAAGGCTGAGATCAAAAAAAAAATTAACAGCTAGGGTATCAAAGGTTATGGAGAAATCCAAGAAAGTGTAGTTCAGGATTATCAGATCAGGATTATCCGCTCATTTAAAGCAGAGCAGACTTGATGGGCTGAGTTGTCTCTTTCTACTCCTAAAATGTATGATGTTAATATAAGGCTGCAAAACTGACCGGAGTAAAATTTGCTTAAAAATGTGTGGATCCCATCGGGGCACTGAACCAAGGTGAGATGTGCAAAGGGCAGCAAACAAAAGGGCAGTCATTGTTGTTGGTTGTTCCGGAGTGATCTGCATACCAGGGTAAACAGGAAAAACCAGTCTTCAGTGCCCACATTGAGCCTGGCTCCATTCGGCCTACAGTCAACTCTCACAAACCACCATTGCCCTTCACTTTTCCTGACCTCCCCTGTTCTTGTCTTAAACAAATTGCACGTCAGGCAATTGCAGCTGACATTGCTGATGTAGAACTGTAATGTGGAGTGAAGCGATACTGACTGGTCCACAACATAATTCTGCTTCGAAAGGTCAGAAAATATTTCATATTTATTATGTAAATTTTAACCATGAACACGCATGGCAGTGAAGACACTGAATCCTAATCAGTAGACTACTAGGGAAGACTTCTATCTGTATCACCCTGGTCACTGTCTGATTCAGCATTTCATCTCTCATCCTTCTGCACATGAACCCTCAGCTCTATCTCGGTTTTATCACATTGTCTTGGTTTATAACGCACCGACTATCCCGTCATCTGTTATATTGCAGTTTCTAATGCATGAAACCCTACCTTACAG